CCTCAGGTTCCCTAAGTCTAAAGTGGGGGGGATTATGAAACCAGCCTTGCAGATCTGGGGGATAAATAATGAAAACAATAAAAACGACCCATGAGATCAGGAGTCTCATCATCTCTCTCATTTGACAGATGATGCAATGGACGCCCAGAGAGGTGGAGTAACAAGCTCAAGGTCACACAGCCAGGAAGCAGTCCCAGCTCTCAACCACTGGGGAAAATTCTCCAGACCCAAATAGAAACTGCAAAGAGGCTGAGCGCTCTGGCTTGGCTTCCCCTAGGGGTCCCAGACTCACTGTGGGCCTTGATTTCCCCAGGGCAGTAAAATGGGAAGGGGGCATGACCAGCGAGTGGCCCCAAGCCCCACTGGATCCTCCTTGACCGTTTTCTCTCTTTAGCTGTGGGAAAATACTCTATTTCCACGGTCCGGTAGTTCAGGTGGCTGACCCACTATCTTCTCTTGGCATCTCCCAGTAAGGATGAGCTGTGGGCATTTCTCAAAGGCCCTCCTGAGGGCATCAGGGTGGGGGAGGGCTGGAGCCAGTCAGTCCAGGAAAATGACTGGTGCAGGGCGGGGTAGACCAGACTCTGTCCTTTAACCTATTTAAATCCAGTCAAGCACGGGTGTACTCAGGCTTCAAACCCACCTCTCCCACCCCGCAGTGGCTGACAGCTTGGAGCCAGACTGACTGGGTTCAAGGCTCAGCCCTGCTACTATTGTGCTGTGTGACTCCAGGCAAACTCCTCTACCTCTCTGGGCCTCAGTTTCCTCCTCCGTTAAGTGCCAACCTCCTAGGATGGGGTGGGGATTAAATGAATCGAGAAACCTTAGAACAGTCTCTGGTACACAGGAAGCATGCTCTAAATGCTAGCTCATCTTATTTACCCCAGGAGCCACAGCTGGGGGTGCTCTGGCCCCCACAAGGTTTTCTCTAATTTTCTTTAAACATCTGCATTTGTTGTCACCAACCAAAAAAAAAAAGTCAGGCAATTTCATCCCAAAGCCTGAATTTGTAGGCTTTATTAAGGCATCAGATGATCTGGCCACCCAGGGCCTATCATGCCTGGCAGGTCCTGTGCATATGGTAGGACCCCCTCACGGTACAGCAGGAGGCCCAGGTTTCGTGGATGGAGACCCCAAAGCCTACAGAGGGTGTCTGGCTTACCCCAGGTCACACAGCGCTGTGGTCTTTGGATTCAGGTCAGTCCCAAAAGGTGGGCACGGGCCAGCAAGCCAAGTCCCTATCCCTCCACATCCTGGGACCAAAGCCGAGTTCCTAGGGCCTGCCCATGAAGCTGACTCCATTGACTTTAACTGTCAGTCCTCATTTTCATCTTTAAAATGGGCACAATTATAGAACAGGGATCACTAAGCAACAGGATATGTATTTAGTACTGGGCACATGCGGAGTACCCAAACAGTTGCCTATTAAGAAAAAAATCGATATTTTCCTTTCTTCTGGGGGAAAACGCAGGATTCTTCAAAGAACACTTTTAGGGCAGGTGAACGAGCCTAGCGAAGGCCCAAGGCCCAACTGGGATCTGTGGCCTCTGACTTTGGTCCCTCCACAGCAGGTGAGAATCTGCACTCTTAAGTGGGGACAGTCTGGGAGCAAATCTCAGTTTTGTCCCTATGATCTTTCAGATGGTGAGGGTGGGGGGTAGGCAGAGGGGCTCTGAAGCCACACGGCTGGGTGTTTGGGCAAATTATTTTACTTTTTTTTTTTTAAAAAGATGACCGGTAAGGGGATCTCAACCCTTGGCTTGGTGTTGTCAGCACCACGCTCACCCAGTGAGCGAACCGGCCATCCCTATATAGGATCCGAACCCACGGCCTTGGTGTTAT